AGCTTTGAGCAGTCAAAACTTCCGTTTTCTCTTTGCCTACGATAACTGTATCAGCAATCAATAATGAGAAGTTTTGGTTCTTCGTTTTACCTGAAGAACTCTGCAATTTATCTGTTGGCTTCAAGTTCTGGAAACCAAGTGTAACATTAAACACCATGCCAGCCTTTACTATGCGGTCGTTTTTGGCATTAAGATTCAACCCAGACTCACGAAACTCAAGTCCAATGCCTGTCCCAGCTGATTTAGTAAGATTGGGAACCAACTCAGGAGCTTCTTTCTCGACAACAGAAAGAGCTGCTACATATGCAGCATTCACCCTATTTTCAGGCCTCAACATACTGATGGCCACTTCTTGGGCTTTGAGAAGGACCTCATAAGCCTTGCTTTGCAGTGGATTCGCATCAATCAAGAAAGTTCTGGCAACATTAGAGCAATAGCTCTTGTATCGGGACCCCACTGCACATATTATCACACTTGCAGGATCATAGTGAAGTAACTCATCATTGCTCGCAGCACTGGGCCTGAGATCAAACTCTCCTCCACTCTGAAATATTGGAGGGTAACATATGTCAACATTTTCAGTCTTTAACTTCACGCCAGCTTTTGAGGGTTCCAGAATGGCTTTCTCTGTCTCATCCATCAATGATGAATGGGTGATTTTCTTCTCCTCGTCAATCACATTTTCCAACTTTGGGACCACAACTTTTTTCATCACATTAACAGTTAAAAATGCGGCTTTCTTGATGTTCATAATTTCATTATCATCTTTGCAAGCAAATAAGTCAGATAACCCATTTGTTATGTCACCTAATTCAAAGTTAGCACTCTTCAGCTTCCCAGACCACGTCTCTAGAAGGTTCCCTTCAGGAGCTTCTCTAGAAATGTATCCAACTACTGGGTTCTCCATGCCATCTGCCTTTGACTGAGCTCGAATCGCACGAAATATAGCATCCATTAAGGAAGAACCATCATCATTCTTTGCCTTCACATGCATAACAACATCTGCACCAACGGCATCCGAGGCAGATTTTTTTACAACATCAAGTAGAGATGCCTTCTTTTGGCTACACAGAAAATGAATTTGTTTCTTGGTGAACACTATTATAGTCTCTGGGAACTCATAACCTAACAACCAGATATGGAGCGCTGATGACTTAAGGTACCGCAGATCCTCTGATGCTGGAGGTGTCCCGATAGCTAGTACATCTGAAGAGCTCCACATGTCAGATTTGTGCTCATCCCAATGAGCATATATAGCTTTCAGTCTTGTGCTGAAGTTCACTAGATCAATAGAATACATATTCCCAGATCCACTGGCCTTCCCATTGGGAGGTTGGCTACTACCATTTCTACGATCAGCCATAGAGACTATAGAGCCACAACACTGTCGACCAAAAAACACCTGAACCAGATGAATAAGCCAAAAAAATAAGAAATATTTGGGGAGGTCACCAAAAAAAAAAAAAAAAAAAAAAAAAAAAAAAAAAAAAAAAAAAAAAAATCAGAGAGTCAAGTATAAAGTAAATCTCAAATAATTGGGATTAATAGTTGGGGATTCAACTTCATTTTTAAAGAAAGTGGTGTGAATTCACTTTAACTCGTGAACCAAGCAAAAAAAAATATTTACAATGAAATTTTACATTTCACGCTGCGGCATAACTACAATGTCAGTAAGCACAACAAAATTCAGAATGTGCAACTGACAAAAATGAGTTTGGCATAAAAATGCTTCCTCTTGACGTTCCACAGAAAATAATTTTTCTTGATTCAAAGACTCACTTACAATATCCATCTCATGATCACAAATAATCGAACCAAATTTTAAATGCAAGTTAAAATTTTCCAGTCTTTAAGAACTCAATTGAGAAGAATCAAACAATTACTCCATAACTGAACGAACTTTATCTTAAACACTGGTGGTGCCAGAGTACTGACAATAGTATAAGGACATTTTCAAAATCAGCGGTCTAACACAATTATCCTTTGAACTAATGAAGAAATTAATAGAAACACTAGGATGGGGGGAAAAGGACCAAACTAAATCGGCAATGGTTCAAAATTTTAAAAAAAAAAATCTCAAATTCGCACTTAGTTAGATGTGACTGTGGAACTCATCTGAACATGATCAACTACAAGTTCGGCAAGAAAAATTCTTTTAGATGTTATTTCTAACGTAATAATGTGTAGAACAAATCCACCAACTAACCTCAAACTCTCAACCAGACGGACGAAACTGGCAATTAGGTGATTCACAAGGTGAAAATTCTGTGTGCATTAACAAAATAGATTTGATGTTATCGTTAATGCGGCTTCTTCGTGTGCTATTATCGTTAATGCGGCCTCTTCGTGTGCATTAACGAAATAATTTTGTTATTATTCTTCCTCCGATATTAACTTCAGTTGGAATGCATATTTATAGTTCTAGGGTTTGGTTCTAGAGCGGAAATTTTGAAATTGCATCTTAATGAAGTTATAGCTTCCTAACTATCCAAAAAAATCAACGAGAAGTTGGGTTTCTTTGTTGAAACAGGAAAAGAATAAGCCAATTTATAATCTAACTAAAGCCATAAAAAGAACGCAGCCGATGCGGAGAGTTCAATCTGAATAAAAATCACACAAATACACGTCCTTCTTGAAACGTTGTGAGGGTTTACGTTAAAGTGGAAAAAACGCACCTGGTATCAGAAAACTGGAAGGGTGCAAGATCATACAAGCTGTGGAAGCTGAAACANAGGCAAATGCGGCCAGAAACCCTCGAGAAATCCAAGCTACAGGGCGAGCGAGAGATGGGTCTATAAGAGATGATTGAGGAGCGCGAGAGATAGGTAGATGAGGAGAAGGAGATTTAGAGTTTACAGAGAAAGAGAGGCGGCAATGGCAGCCAACAGAACAGAAGTGGGATTGGAATGGAAGGGAAGGGGAGGGAAGGGCATAGGGCTGCAGCAATATATCGAGACAGAAAAGGGAGGGAGCCGAGGGCGAGCGGGCGGGCGGGCGGGCTTTATGTATTTATCTTATTTTTCTCTTTTTGTACAGCAAATAATTGATGAAATTTAAATTTTATTCCAATCTATAAAATGGGGTTTTTTTTTTTTTTTTTTTTTTTTTTTTTTTTTTTCGCTTCAATAGTNCCAATCTAAAGAAGTTAACTTTCCTTGTGAATATTTCGTCTTATTTTCCATTTTTTGAAAGTAAACTTGTAAATTTTTTTTTTTTTAAACTTAAAAGTTTAAATGTATTTTTTTTAAAATGTGAAAAATATTTAATAAAATATTGTGAAATCCTATTGAGCGTGAAAAATTCTCTCTAGTAGATGTGTCTTAAAAATCGTGAGGCTAATCGACGATACAAACCAGACACAAGAGAGTGTCAACGAAGATATTGAACCAAAAAAAATAAATTGTGAAATCGTTCGTTAATTAGATAAGAGAATGAAACAATCCCCCAGAGGGATGAAAACCTCTCCATAACATGAAATTTTTCAAATTTTATAGAGTTTTGTCTTTTTATTGTTGTCAAGATTACAATCATATATTTATCCTCTCCTCTTCCTAAGCTGATACAGATTTTTTTCTTTCAAAACTTTTCAATTTTTATTGAAAACTTTCAATCTATTGAACTGTATCTCGACCTTAAGTGTTACAAGATTACACTTAATTTGATACGAGGAATATTAACGAAAATATTTCTCTCGATTGAGAAAACGACAAGAACACGACAAGAACATGGTTTTATTCCAAAATGATAACAAAGAACTATGGTTTCAGTCAAACTGCCTCTCTTCAGCTTCACCATCTTCACCATCACCAAGCTTCTTGTAACTGTGCAATCTGCTCATCACAGCCAGCCCTAAGACCAACATAAAAGGGATAAATCTAATCACATAATTTCATTCAAAAACAGCTTCATGTCAAGCAAACCCAGGCAAGAACACTTCAAATATTGACAGTAAACGAGCTTCAAACCAGAAAAAGAAATGGACACACCAATACAAGCATACCTTCAATTATTCGGTAGAAAGACGACCACCAACTGTATCTAGGAATCGAGTCTCGAGTGAGTACTTCGTCGATTAATCCGTCGTGTTTCCCCTCCAAAACTCCATGCAGCGTTAGAACTGCATCCTTTGCTTTCCCAATGACATCATTCCCATGAACAGTCTCAATGTCTGGCCTTTTGAGGTCATCTTGAGAGGCAGCAAGACTTCTGGACAGAGCAAACTGAGCAGCAGTCATCCAGTGGGTTTTTGCTAGCCATCTCCCATGACCATTCTGAAGTAACTGGTTTTCATCATGTGGATTGGTCTCTTCTTTTCCAAGAACTAAGCTACATAAGTACTGAGCATTTGCAGGTCCTGTACTTTGAACCATTCTATAGAATGCGCTTCCTTCATTTGAAAGCAGCTTTTCAGGGGCATCATATTCTATGACCTGAAAGAACATTGGTAGTTCTGAAGTGATCAACAATGGCATAACCACTAGCTCATCAACCAAAAACTAAGCCATACCTGACCCTTATCCAGCACGAGAATCCGATCACAATCAATAATCCTGTTTAATCGATGAGCGATTATCAGCATAGTGCACGATTTGAACTCCTCACGGATAGTTTTCTGTATCAGAGAGTCTGTGTTAACATCAACAGCTGCCGTTGCTTCATCAAGAACAATGATCTTTGATCTTCTCAACAACGCTCTAGCAAGGCTTATCAATTGCCTTTGTCCAACGCTGAAATTTTCCCCTCCTTCCGAAACCTTGAACAATTATGAACTTGCACTTAAGTTTTATTCAACATAAGCTAAAGTTGGCAAAGGGTCTTACCTCAATATCCAAGCCAAAAGAGCTTCTCATAATTACATCCTTAAGATGTGCTCTCTCAAGAGCCTCCCACAAGTCAGCATCATTATGTTCACAGAACGGATCGAGATTAAAACGTACAGTTCCTAAACAAACGATAGATGGATGAATAGATTGAATTCAAGAGAAGATTTAGAAGTCTACTCAAAGCATACCTGAAAAAAGAATTGGTGATTGAGGTATAACAGTTAGAGATTTCCGCAAATCTGTTAGCCCAACCTTAGCAATGTCATAGCCATCAATTGTTATTCGTCCTAGTTCGATCTCTACAATTCGAAATAATGCATTCAACATGCTTGATTTTCCTGCACCAGTTCTTCCAACTATTCCTAGCTTGTCAGTTGGTAAAATATTAAAGGATAGCCCATGCAAGACTGGAGGAAGTCCAGGCCTATAACGTAAGACAACATCCTCAAAATGAATCGATCCAGATGAAGGCCAACCAGAAGGGGGGCGGTTATACTCGATTATAGCTGGAGCCTCTGAAGGCAAATCGATGTATATGCCAACACGTTCAACAGCGTTTAAACCATTTTCAGCCCTACTTGCTTGTCTTAGAACACCACTTAACAAGTTTGTGATGTTTAGGGTATAACTTAAAAGTAATCCCATCGTAGATGCAAATGCCCCCTGGTTTTCTTCTCTTGCGTTCTGCAAGACAGCAAAAGTTGCTGTCATCCAGATTATAAAGCCTCCTAATGTTTCCAACCTTATTGTGAGCCAGCGATTTGAACTGATATTTGCAAGAGTAAACCTGGTGTTATTATCCACGAACCTCCCGTTGATGCTTTCCATTCGATCATATGCCTTATATGCACGGATAGTTGACAGACCATTTAACACTTCCCCAAATTGAGCATACACCGGAGATCTAGTAATCGAACCCAAGCGTTTGACTTCGCATGAGGTACTCTGAAAGAAGCATGTGATGAAATTCAATTTCTCTTCCATAGTTTATTGACAAAAAGGAACAGAATAAAAGTTGTTAACATCATACCTGATAATATAAATAGACTGCATAAAACACAATCAATAGCGGCGTAATGGCCCATAGGGAGATTGGGCTCACTAGACCTATTAGAACAAAAGTTGACAGTAGCTGCCACAGTTGTCCAAGAAACATATTCATAATATGGGCAAGAGTACGATCAATGTCTCCAAGATCTTTGGCAAACCTATTGATAATTCGTCCAATTGGATTGGTGTGGAAGAACACCATTGGAGCTCTTAGATTGAATTTAGCATGAAATCGTGCAATTTTCTAGACGCACGGAGGCTTGAAATGATTAACCAGTATAAGTTTGCTACTGTAAATGTCAACTAGAAGGAAACAAACAGAACAAAATTCAGACAAGGCTAAAAACATTATCCATGCCCACCATATAAATCCCGTGATCCAAATGACAACGTTAATACATATACTTACTCACCTGGCCAAAGGACAACGCTACATAGATGAGATTGTAGTATCCAGCGTAATAATTTTCTGAAATGCTTTTATTTGTCCAAAAGCTTAACCACATGCTAGTCAAAACTCGAAGGAATTCTATCAGCAGATAAAATGAAAAGAGTACGAAAACTACCCAAGTACCTCCTAATGCATCCTTATACCTACACATACAACAAAGTTCCCTTAAGTGTTGAACAAAGAAGTTGTGAGCCTCAGATGTGTAGTCTAAAGTGACTCAAGTGTCAAACAAAGGGTGTACTTCTTCGAGGACTCTAGAGAAGGAGTCGAGCCTCGATTAAGGGGAGGCTATTTGAGGACTCCATAGGCCTCAGGAGAGGCTCTGTGGTGTACTTTGTTTAAGGGGAGAATTGTTGAAGATTGTTGAGAGGGTGTCCCACGTTGGCTAATTAAGGGGATGATTATGAGTTTATAAGTAAGGAATACATTTCTAAAGAAACGAAGCCACAAAAGAGTGCTCTGTTTTTTAGCTTTAAGCATACAAATTCTTTTTGAAGCATGAATTTCTTGTAAGTCGATGTCTTACCTCATTAACACCTTCCAACTTACTACTCCTGTCTCTCTCTCCTCCTCCTTTATTAGTACAGAGTTCTTCTCTTTCCGTTTTCTTGCATAACTTGTGTCTTCTGGAACTTTATTTCTGAGTCCACCATTCGGAGACTTTGGGCTTTCCGACTACTGGGTTCTCCATGCCATCTGCCTTTGACTGAGCTCGAATAGCACGAAATATAGCATCCATTAAGGAAGAACCATCATCATTCTTTGCCTTCACATGCATAACAACATCTGCACCAACGGCATCCGAGGCAGGTTTTTTTACAACATCTAATAGAGAGGCCTTCTTTTGGCTACACAGAATATGAATTTGTTTCTTGTTGAACACCATTATAGTCTCTGGGAGCGCTGAAGTCTTAAGGTACCGCAGATCCTCTGATGCTGGAGGTATCCCGATAGCTAGTACATCTGAAGAGATCCACGTGTCAGATTTGTGCTCATCCCAATGAGAATATATAGCTTTCAGTCTTGTGCTGAAGTTCTCACTAGATCAATAGAATACATATTCCCAGCTCCACTGGCCTTCCCATTGGGAGGTTGGCTACTACCATTTCTACGATCAGCCATAGAGACTATAGACCCACAACACTGTCCACCAAAAAAACCCGAATCAGATGAATAAGCCAAAAAAAATAAGAAATATTTGGGGAGTTCACAAAAAAAAAAAAAAAAAAAAAAAAAAAAAAAAAAAA